CTTTTATTTTAGTGCATATTTTCTGACCAAAATATTCCTTGGTCACATGTAAAAAGAATTTCATCTCTAATCCAGAGTAGAATGTTTTGAAAATGATGATGAAGGCAAGTGCAAATTCACTAACAGAACAAAAAGGAACAGAGTAATCTCTGCTACATTTTTAACTAAATGATTTTTAACTGTGGTATAAGTTAACTATTGAGATTATGCAAAGTTACATATTGAAAATAAGACATTTACATCATATGTGTTGTTTTTGAGGGAAATCTGTAATAATTCTCTGTAGCAAGGCATTCACACTTTTGGGAGCAAACTATTTTATAAAAACTGGTATTACCTTGAATTTCTCATCCAACAGTAGGGACTGCCTGGAAACATGCTTTGCACTATTTCCAAGATCACAATGTGTGTGTGTTCCAATTATCACACTTATTAAACACCACACTTACTTCCTTTTTTTTTCACACTTAATTCCAAAACTTCCTTCAAATCACTAAGAAAATAATTTACCTACACTACGCCATTATACAAAATCTTCCGAGACTTGATACACAGGTTGAAGTGTGGCAAATAAACTCGGCTCCGTATCTTTAACCTGACTTCTGCCAGACCATGGAGCTCCATTGCATCGCACTAAATTCTCACCAGTATACCAGTGCTCTAAACTTCTTCCTGCCTCCCAATCTTTTTCAAACTCTTAACTAGGAACTGGTCATTTTAATCTCCTAGAGACACTAAAGCCTGCATTTTAGAGAACCATTTCTTATAATTCAAGTTGTACATTGAGTTTTAAAAATCAGGGGCTGGAGGTGTAGCTCAGGGCATAAGCACCTGCCTTGCAAGCAGGCAGTCGTGAGTTCGATCCCTGGTACTGATAAGAAGAAAAAAGACAAAAAAAAAAAAAAAAAAAAAAAAAAAAAAAAAAAAAAAAAAAAAAGTATCAGTGATATTGTTTTTGAGGTAAAATTTTTTTTTGTTTTCTTTTTTTTTTTTTGTCTTTTTCCTTTTTATCGGTACCGGGATCGAACTCAGGACTGCCTGCTTGCAAGGCAGGCGCTTATGCCACTGAGCTAAATCTCCAGCCCCCTGAGGTAAAATTTTTGATTATAGTGGCCTTGTATTATGTTGGCAACTGACATGTAGAAATAATCACATTTAATTTGAATTATAGCAACTGCTGAAACTTTGTTCTCCTTATATAAAGAACCCAATCCTCAGTTATCTAATCTACAAAAGATAATTGTAATACTTACCTAATACATAACTGTAAAAATGGTCAATATATATATTAACCTGTTTAAAAACTGCAAATTGAAGGTTTTTGTTTTTGCTGAAAAGATAATGGATCGGACAAAAGATCGATATTAAGAATATAAACAGAAGTTTAACCAGTTTCAACACGTATTTGCTTTTGCCTCGAATCTCCAAACTTCTTAGGACACTAACTTGCTCTAATTTGTCTATCAATGCACAGCTCTCAAATACACAATCATCTTTCTTTTAAGCCATATTAGCACTTGCTGTACCAGGAAGCATTATCATCTATAAGCTATTACTTTTGTTCAGAATATGCTAATAGTTCCTTTGTCAAACATACTCTACAAAGGTTTATGTCACATCTTACCATTTTTCAAATTATTTTCTGATCTAGGCTTTCATAGGAAGTTAGATACCCCCTCATATATTTCTGTAGAATATTATTTTGTTAATTTCAACATATTTTAGGAGGTAAAGGTATTTTATATGGATGTCTGCCAACTAGGGGTGGCTAAATGTCTCATGTGTGTGTAGTACCTTTCACATATCATTATATAAGGACTAAGGTTGTGTTATGAGTATTAATGTGTTTACACAGAACTTAGAGTACAGCTCATAATGTATTGCAGCAACATTTCACCTAAGTTCAAATTATAAAACCCTGACACAGATGCTCAAAGATGCTTGTGGACAAAGGACACACAAAGGATATTTGCCTTGATTATATTCCAGGTAGTTAGCTTGCTTCTCTAAGGACTTCATTAGACCATAAACTTCAAGTGGACTTTTGAAGTGTCATTTCATGAAGGAAACTTATCTTTAAAGAACTTCTGGTTACCTTTAAAAGACTCTTCTCATGCTAGATATACTTAAGATATCATAGGTAAAACGAGCAAAGTGAATTAGCAAATTTGTGTTTTACTTTGTTTTCCCATAGCAGGCTGTTGAACAAAAGTAATCACTAAAGGAACTAGTACTCAACATAGTATAAGAAATATTAGGAATCGGGCATTTACTTAATAGCACAAAAAGAGTAACATGAGTGAGGCACTGGGCCAATCCACGAGGGTTATTCTGTTACTACAAAATGGTTCAAGGGAATCTAGAAATTACAAATTATGGGATTAAGGACTAAAATAGGAAACTTTATAGAAACCTTTGGAAGATTCACTACAAAGATGGAGATACTACACATCCAGATTTCTGGATATATGCTTCTGTACAGACAGTAATGTTTAAAGGATGCATAAAATGTTTTATTTTTCCATCTCTTTATTATGTAAAATTATATACAAAAATTCAAATAACTATCCACTTAAAAGGTATTATACACTTTTAAAAACACTGAATAAACAAGTTCATGATCTCACGAAACTTTAATATTGTCACACATTAATAAAAGGATCCAAAACACAAATATCTCTTGACTTAAAAGACAATCCTGAATGTAAATGCTGTTTCTTACACATTGAAAAATAAATCAAGCTGTTGTTTGGTTTCTTTATAAATAAAAAAAAAAAATCTCAGGTAAAAATAGAGCAAACTGTTGACAGCAATCAGTACTGCAACAAAGTCAGACGAGATTCCTGTAGCTTACATTTAGTTCTGTCTTCACCAGAAATAAATGAGTCCTTAAAAAAGAAAGCGAAATAATTACACGAGAGAAAACTGACATCACAGTTTAGAATATGTATAAATGCTGACATATATGTATGTACATACATATTAATATGTGTATTTGCTATTCTTGATGCCTTAGAGAAATGAAACACATGTAGCAGTTTTTTTAACCTAATTTTACAAAGTAATATTGAAGATCATATTGCTAACAGAAAATATCATTTCATGTTTTTTTGGGTTTTTTTTTTTTTTTTTTGGTCTTCTTTTGAGATGGGGTCTTGCTATGCAGTTCAGTCTGGCCTTGAGCTCACTTTGTAGCCCAGGCTAGTTTCAGAAAATAGCATTTTAATATATCATATATATATATATATATATATATATATATATATATATGATATTTATGATATTTCTATACTACATTCATTATTTCTTTCTCTATTTTCTCATTTTGAAAACAGCATACTACAAGAATGACATTACAATTATCATTAAAACAATTTTTAAGTTTGAAACAATTTATCTTCTCCAACACCTATCAGCTTCAGGGAATAATCAAATGAAACAACTAGAGATAATACTGCACTTCAGGAAATCATTTAAACTTATTCAATCATTTTTAGAGAATGCTCAAAGTAAGCCAATAAAGACTGTGGAGAGCCCTAATTCCCCAAAGAGAAGGATTTTCCTTCAAATACACACACAAAGCATAAATTATCCATAAGTTATTACTTGGTAAAGTACATTTTAACTCTATTCTTTATATATTGCAGAAGTCTATAGTTTAAAAAAATTTTTTTAAAAATTTTAACAGCCATAAACTCAATCTTAACAACAGCTGGATAATATATGCTCTTCAAAAATGACAGCTTAAAAAGACCTCAAAACATAAAAAAATGTTGATTCTAGAACTAAAGCTTCAATTGTTCAGGGTTTTAAGAACAAAGTGTTTTGGTGAACCCTGTTTGTTTATCAATGGATTAAAAACCAAAATACTAAGTTTATTACACTCCAACATTTTAAGTATCAAAAGGGTAATTTAAAGATTGGATTAGAAATAAGAATGAACTAAATCAATTTATTTAATCTCACACTCTGTTAGTATTTCAAAACTTAGGTGTAAAGAAAACAAAGAGGTTTAAAGAAGAAATGTAAACATTTTAATATGAATTACATTCATTCTATAAAACAGAAATACTATATTTTAGCCTATGCAAGGCTTTAAACTGGAAAAAAATTATAAATAGTGTGAAACTAAACAGCTGATCTATTTTCAAAGTTAGCAGAACTTCCTCAGTGTGATGTTAATACTATACATTACAGATATGTTTTATTCCTTTTTAGTAAAGATCTGAAAATACACATGAATGCATTTTTACATACATATGTCCAAGTGATAAGAGAAAAGGAATTTATTTTTAAGGACAAAGTCTTCACTGATCACTATTGTTCTAAGAAATAAAGAGAAGTAGAAAATATTTTCTTATTGGAAAGAACAGTAATAGGCAGCGTACAGTATTAGAAGTAAAGCCTTAGTTCTGTAACTTTTAAACTGTACAGATGAAGGATTAGCTTTGCTATAGCTACCCTGGATGTTAATAATAGAGTAATGTGGTTAATTGTGAAATTTTTAAAGTGTATTGCAGTAAAAATACATTGCTGATAATCCCCCTCAAAATACTTTTTCCCTTGAATGCAAGTATTTCATCTTTCTTGCCACTTCTTTCTTTTCCTAAAGCAGCACTGAAAGTTCTCTCATGACTGTCTAAAAAGTAAACATGATAAAAAATATGGTGAACACTACTGCAAAGTGCCACCCACAGCAGGCTTCTACAAACATTAGTGTGTTCTCATTAACTTTATTCACTACGTCTGACACCACCCAAGTGTTGGCTCTTTCCCAAAGTCAAAATAACCACAGATGTTTAATATTTAGAATCGATTGAAGACACAGGGGCAGAAATAACAGCTCACTCACACACTCATTAAAGAGAATGTCCAGAACTACTTCAGAAAGTAGCAAGACTAACAGAAATTGTTTCAACCAAGTAAGAGTATTTTGTAAAGGACAATGAAAAACTATTTTTGTGTAACAGAAAATGCTTCCTCCACAAAGCCCACCAGCATACTTTTTTTAAATTTTTATTTTTATTTATTTATTTATTTTTAACAGTATCAAACTCACGACCGTCTGCCTGCAAGGCAGGTGCTTATGCCGCTGAGCTAAATCCCAGCCCCTGTACTTAGGTTTTTTAGTTGCCCAGGTAATAGTTCCTGTTGCAGTTCTGGAGACTTCTGTCTCCTAGGCTGGTCACCATGATGCATATTGTAAGAAGCCACCAAAGACAGTCAAGTACTCTACATCTGTACCCACCCCCTTTTGCAATGCTATGAAAACCTGTTGCCCTGGGCCTTCAGTGCTACATTTTAAGAAACAATTAATTCCCTGTAAGTGTTCATCCAATGTTAAAAGATCTGCCTCCATATCTTGGGTAGTACTTTGGTGTTTCTGCTTGCAGCTGCATTATTACAATACATTTTCTAAAAACTTAGATATTCACTGCTTTTTTTCATTACATCTTGTATTTACCTAACAGGAGTAAATCACCTATATAAGGACATTCAAGAAAGAATTATAATAGTACTTTGAACAAATTTTATCTCTTATTGTTTTCTTGAAACCCACTCCTACCAACTGGTTGACTGTCTAGATGGGAGTGGAAAGCTTCAGAAAGCCTCAGTGTGTTAGAGGATTTTCAATGGTTTATCTTTTTTTTTTTTTTTAATGGGTATCGGGGATCGAACTCACAACCCCCTGCTTGCAAGGCAGGTGCTCATGCTGCTGAGCTAAATCCCTAGTCTTCAATATTTTATCTAAGAAAAAAATAGTTTAGATGTAAAAGAAGTCCTATTTATTTTACTCATACTCTTTGGGTTTTACTTTTGTAAAAGTATATACAAACTGTAAGTCATACATAAAAAATGTGGAATATCTGTTATATAAGGACTGTATATGTTGCATTTTCATTTTGTCAATCATTTACATTTTCAACAGTGCTGTGTTTTCCTTTGATAGGAATTTTCCTTGATACAGTGGATTTAATGATGCACAGAAATGATAAAATCCTTTAAGAGTATATGATAGTGATGGCAAACCTTTTAGACAGAGTGCCATATTGCAATCCAAAACCCACTTATCGCTTGCAAAGTATCAACTTTGCAATTAAACCTGAATACTGAGGTTTTTGTTTAGAAAAACAATTCTACAAAAACTTTTTTTCTTAAAAGAAAACCACAATAACATGTGTCCCATAAGTTCACCACCACTGGCATATGATCACATACACATATATAAAAACCATATATTCACAAATGCACATATGTAACTAATGTATTCAAGAAATAATTCATAGATCCCATATTATTTGATGCAAATGAAATGAAATAAATATAGATAATGGTACATCACAAAAAACAAAGTACTAAAAACAAAGTACTAAACAAGTACTAAACAAAGTACTAAACAAAGTACTAAAAACAGTACTAAAAACAAAGAAAATTATTTTAAATTCACTTAGAAAGCAAACACTTTTGAATAAATTTGAGAAGTAAAAGCAATAAAGAAAAATTCCTTAATTTAAAAAAAATTAATATTAAAACTTACAAGTCTATTAAAATAACAGACTTAAGTATTACAATATGAAATTTTCTCAGGGCAGATATCAAATCAAACACCAAATAAAACACCAAAAATGTTTTATTATTAAAAAAATGCACATTGTTAAAATACTGTTTTTAATTAAACAAATATTCAAAAATAAACCAAGTGAATTCAGGCTATAGAGACAATAAAAATGAAAGACAACCGTAAAATAATAAAAGTGAAAAAAATATATATCAATTGTCATAAAAGCCAAAGATTGTGCTTCTCATAGACAACCAATATAGAAAAGTTTTTGGGAAATATTAATGAGAACGAGAGAACAGGCAGCAGGAATGATTAACAGAATAGCACAATGAAAAGAATATTAAAAAGTATACTTTAAATATTTCTAGATGTTAAATTGATAGTACCCAGCAACTACTAGAAGAAGAAAGCATTCATTTGCTCAATTTTATGGTTTTTTTTGGTAATGGGGATTGAAGTCATGACCTCACACTTGCAAAGCAGATGCTATGTCACTGATCTAAATCTAAATCTAAGCTCAATTTTCTCAATTTTGTATCAGGTTACAAAGTATCTCGAAGGATGAAGTTCAGAAAAAAGAGCAGTTCATAGACACACAGCATAAACCATACAAAAAAATAGGGAATATACAATGTAGGCTTATAACATCATAAACTAAACCACATAACAAAAATCTACATGTATTTTGTTTTTTTCTACATGCATTTTGAATAAGGTAAAATAAATCAGATCAAGTATAAGCTTTAAGGCACAGCAAAAAATAATAATAAAAAGAAAAATCCAAAAATAGTAGACTGGAATCTAATATAAATTTTTGATATTAAAATAAAAACTCAAAATTAAGACACAAATGATTAAATAATAGATTTGCTACATGTAAATCAAAACAGATTTAAGGAAATCAAAATGTAATCTAGAGATAAATGATGATTACAAAAGCATCTATATGATATGAAGAAAAAGAGATATAAGCCCAAATGGTATCTTAAAAGATGCTAATAAAAAAAGGAAGAATATTTTTTATAGAATAAGGCTTAAAATATTCTAGAATTATTGAAAGACTGATAATTGCAATCAGAAAGCCCAACTGTTTGCAATTAAAAGCCAGCCCCAAACTATTCATTATTCATAGCAGTAAAGTTACACAGTAAAGAGAATACATATTAAGGATTTTGTATATAGCCAGTGAGAAAGCAACTATCCTAGAAAGAACTTTAAACTGAGAGCTACTTTCTTATCAGTAACAACGAATAGTTAGATAGTTATTAGAAAATATCTTTATTAGGTCAATAAAGTACTTGCTGAAAATCATTTTCTACATAAAGTATTTTTATAAGAATGAAACTGCAATATTTTTATACTAAAAACAATGTAAAGTTTACTACAGCCTACAGATGCTAACTAAAGAAAATTCTGAGCCATTTATTTTATATGATGAAATTATTTCATATGAATGGTTTCAATGTAAAAAAGTCAGCAAAATGGTAAACAAATGAATAAATTTAAGGTTGAGTAAATAAAACAGTATCTAACCTGTAGAACATGAACAAGCTAGAAATAATAAACCTGACAAAAATAGCTTATTAATTAGCAGTAGGATGACCCATTAATGGTAATGTTTTTTATGCTTTATTTGTTGTCTTAAGACCATAATCGTTATTAATTACATTTTAGACTGTTAACTTCTAGAATTAAAACTGATCTAGCAGAGAAGAGCTTCTAAACAAGGAAAAGAATAAAAAAAGATAAAATGGACAATACAAAACAATGCAACAATGAACAAAAAGATAAAAAACAGACAATAGAAAACAACGAAAAATAGACAAAAATATAAAATTTAAGGAACAATATTTTAGGAAACCTGAGTTTTACAAATGCCACACGCAAATGATAAACATAAGGATTTAAAAAGTCAAGAGGTTGAAATTCAACAAAAATACACGCTAGACAAAGGAAAAGAAGACTTGACAAGATTATATTAATATTTAAAGTCTAAAGAGCCTATGAATGAAGAAGGCATCCACACAACAGTAAAGGTTGTATTCAAAAGATACAAATGTAAACAAATACCATCTAAAGAGCTGTTAAGTATGTAGAAGCAACTTAGAGGAAAAAAACCCTACTATTACAGATAAGAGCTGAACACAGTCCTCTCAAAAGGTACCACTCAGACCATAAAAATAAGATACAGTTATATAAAAAAAAAACACAATCTATGAGATATACAGATTACATTAAACTATAAAATATAAATTTTCTCTAGGCTAAAGTAAAAAGTTGAAGACCACATAACTGCTTCCCTTGTTAAACTCATAAACTTTTATTATATACAGAACATTCTCTAACCAAATTAAACTAAGAAATAATTACTTATCAATAAGCATACAGCAGAAAACTTTAATTTTTTTTAAAAGAAACTCATGAAGTGAAGAAATAAATGCACTAATGTCATAATACTAATGTCATCAATTGAATGATTGTGAAAATACTTATAAGTCAAGAAATTTATAACCTTAAGTGTTTACTTGAGAAAATGAGGATCCAAAATTAAGATGTTATCTTCAAAAATTAAGAAGTTACAAAAATAGCACTTTTCCATTCAAAATTAGAAGGGAAGAAATGATCAAGGTTATCACTAGAAACCAATGAAATAACATACAACAAGTGGATCACAAAAGTCGTATTTAAATCTAAAATGATGAACACCTGTAAAGCATAATCAAGTCAAGTATCAGATAACACAAACTACAAAGTATCAGGAGGCCACTGTATAACAGGATAAGCTCTCTGGTACAGCTCTTCCAATTCAGAGCAAAGGCCCTTAGCACAAAGCAGGGACTCAACACTTTAGTCAGCAAACACTATTATGTCCTTACATCTAATCATTTGCATAAAGCATTTGTTTTATTAGAACTAAGCTAAGCAGCGTGCTGCACATGGGTTTGACAAAGCAATTCCTGAGAGCCCTGGCTGTCTTCATGGTCTTCAATCACACCAGTTTCAGCTCCTGAAATGCTGTTAGTCTTTGTGTGTCTTTAGTCATTCTTACCAACACACGAAGATGAACACACAGGAAACAGAGAACCAGGGCTTTTAATCCAGACTTGAGATGCCCCCAACATGGGTCAAGGTCAGAAATCAGACTGACTATACTTGGGATTTCAGAATCCATTCCGCTGAGAAAAAGGAAGCGGGGTGAGTGTTGGTGTACCCAGCATGGATTTGAGGCACTAAGATTCATCCATAATATAAGGTCTTACCTCCTTCCCACTTCCCATCCCCTCAGTGGGTACAGGAAGTCAAATGCAGATGGACATAGAACACAGTTTTTTCTGCCTCCAACACCTATAATGTAAGGGACACCAAAGCCTAGGGCTGGGATCTGACCTAGTCTAGAATCTTTCTTGTCCATGTTATTTTCCTCTAGGAAACCGTGGCAAGTTAACGTCTACCATGGGTCGTGGATTTTTGGCCCTGGAGAAGTACAATGTGGACAGTGGATGAAGTCAAGTTCCCAGCTTCTCTTCCCACCTGCCTATGCAGCTATTGCATCTCTCACTGGGTCTGTCTCCATCGTTCTGAGTCAGGTGTTAGGCTTACCCTTAGGGAGACTCAGGAAGAGAGGCAGCTGCCGGGGCAACAGGGCCTTCAGTCTCAGAAAGTGGCAGCTTTGCTTGCAGGGTATGCAGTAGCTGAAGGAATGTCTGATGCCTGGAAAGAGGAAGGAAATGTGAAGAGAGGGAATCTCATCAAGACCTGAGTCTTCAGTCTCTGCGTCCTGTCTCACCTCTGCAATTTATTCTGCTCCTGTGCTGCCTGCTGTTTCAGAACTCCAAGTTCTTGATACAGTCGCTCAAGCTTCTGCTGAGTTCCAGTCTGGCACTCTTTCACCTCTGCAGAAACTTTCGCCAGATCCTGCAGATGCTTTTGCTATGGAGTGAGAGTGCACGTGGGTTTCATCAAATACTGACATCTTAAAGTGACTTTCTCCCAACTCCTCCAACATAGACCTTGCTGGGGACTGAGATTCACTGACAGCAAGGGGGATGTAGCAAGTAGGAATATTAGTCTAAAGAAAAGGAATCACCCACCTGTTGTAGCTGCCACTGCTTTTGGGCCGCTTTGAATTTCTCCATGGCCACTTGTTTCTGCAGTTAAGTTAGGGAGATGGACGAGGAGACAATTAGTTTACATGTTCAGGTTAAAGTTTTAGACATAGCACCTGAGTCCAACATGGCCTATCTATCTTTCCATTTTACCCTCTCTTCCTGTCTTTCTCTCTCTCAAGTTTCCTAGGTGCACCTTGGCCTGGAGCTGCTCAATGGCTTCCTGGAGTTCTACACGCTTCCTTTGGGCCTCTTCCACTTGGAGCAGCGCCTCAGGGAGGGCACTTCTTATGGCCTCCACATGTTCCTGGTAAGTGGCCTTAAGGTCCTTCCATTGCTGCTTGGCTACAATTATGTTTTGTCCTAAAATGAGCCACAAGAAATGAAACTGTGAGTGTGGTTGTTTTGCAGTTGTCCCCATGAAACACTAGGCCTCAGTCTTCCCCATAGCCAGAAAGAAAATCTAACCAATATCCTCCCTCCTTGTCCATTTAGGCCAGCCCTTCCCAAATCCCTGCCTACTCACGGCTTGTGTCTTCAGAAGCCAAGGGGTCCAGACCTTGGGTAGTGTCCAGTTGAGCCAGGAAATTCTGTAAAAAGTCTACTACTTGAAGCTGGCTACAGAGTAACTTGGCTTTCTTCCGAGAGTTCTATTTAAAGAGAAAGAGAGACAGGAGCCAGAACTATCTTGTACCACCTTTTAAGGCCAGAAAGATTGCCTTCTGCTTTTTTATTACTACTGTCCTTCATCTCTAAGACCACTCCCTTACTTCTGAAAAGCCGGTTCCCAGTGTACATACCCTCACAAATTCTGCCAGGATCTGGGCTGGCAGCTCTGTTTCTTCCTGTAGGCCTATAGGTTCTACAACATTTGCCACCTCAGCCAGGACCCTAGAGGGGCAGGGAAACAAAGGAGACTGTTGATTGCCAAAGGGTACAAACACATAAGAATGAGTATATCTATACTCTTACACTCTGAATGAGTGTATCTAGGAGTTACTACCCTGAGTAAACCTACACAAAAGCCTGTGAAGCCTGCAGTTTGGAAGGGGAGACTTGGTTTGTGCCTGGAGAACATGGGTCATGAAGCACGTTGAGACTAATCAGCTGAGGAGGAATAATGAATGAAGAGGCTTTGATTTTAATTGGGAATGGCTCATTGAACATACTGTATGAAACAAGATCTGAAAGCTGTTAGATGTACTTGGCAGGGTAAAAACAAGGGCAAAACACTGATGAACCCTAGGAGCCTTCCTGGCTCTGGTATTCGAAAAGGGTCTTAAAATAACTAACGCAGGGCTGGGGATATAGCTCAGTGGCACAGGCGCCTGCCTGGCAAGCTCAAGGGCATTTCAATCCACGGTACCAAAGCGGGAAGAAAAGCCTTAAGGAAGAGCAAAAGGCAGACTCCTGTGCTCTCGGGTCTCCAGGTTTTTCCTTGTTAGAAACCAGAGCAATCCACTACGGCACAAGGAATGGGAAAGACGGATTCTATTGGGGAAAGGTTTTGTTGGGAGACAAAGGATCAAAATTTTAAAAGGCCTTTCTAGAATGCCTCTTAGGAATGGAAATTTTCTGGCTAGAGTGATGACGTGGACAGAGAGGGAGAGAACTGTCCCTTTCTGGGACACGCCTCTGAGAAGAGTGCAGTGAGGACAGTGCAGTGACCAAGAGTCCCGCGGTGGCTACTCGGGAGCCAAACAAGAGTCATCTCAGCACTAAGACTGCGGTCAGAATCAATTCAAGACAGGGACGAAAGTTGTTCAGGGTTGAAAAAAAACAAGCATTAAACGACACAGGAGCGCAAAATTGCCCGCGGCACGCTCCCAACTATCATCTGGTAGTAAACACTTACTCTCGAGCTACCGCCTCTGCTTCCGTCTCCGTCGCCTCCATCTCGCAGCGGGCGGCTACTTTCTGTTTTGGATTCAACCGAACATTCGCGCCAGGACAGGCGATCGGCTGATGGCTTAGAGGGCGGGAATTAAGGAACATCCTGCACTCTCATTGGTTGTTTTGGACTCACCGCCCGCGTTTCACGCAGGCGCAGTTTCGGGAGGGTGTAGCAAACCTAGGAGAATTCGGCTGCTGGTAGCCTGTACTGTAAACCGGAAACGAGTCGTGAGCTCTTCTCTGCCTGGGTGTCCTTCCTAGTTTCTCACTACTGAATAAAAGGAAAATGACGACCTTGAGTTCCGATTTCAGAGGAAATAATATTCACATTTGACTTTGAATATTTACTACTATCAGAAAGCTGCGCCTTTCGAGATGAAAAAATATTGATTTGGTAGATATAAAGTGCATATTGATTTTGAAGACGTTTAAAAGATGCGACGCAGTGAGAGAGAATCCCAGAAGAGCCCAACGGAATACCTCCGGTGACAAGATAAGGCTGGAATTCTGAAGCAGCAATACTGTGTGCAGGCTGTAGAACAAAGGAGCTGGCTGATAGAAAAGTCGGAATTCTGCGGGGCGTTTTGTTTGTTTTTGAATATTCAGTTAAGTCCCATGACCACATGTATGAGAAAATTTTCCAAATGGGAACTTAATGGATTTACTACTCAGAGGCTTGCTATTCTGACAGTAATTAGCTGTGCATTGAAAACTCCTTTAATGTTACCTAAATTCTAAAAAACAAGATTCCAAAAGAATCAGAGTGTCACATAAATGGGTGACAGTGCAAAGTTTTACAGATTTTTAAAAATCACGGACTAGTAAAATACTATTTGCAGTGGCAGGCTTTCAATTAAATACAGTAAAAATTAGTTGCTGATGAGAACTGAACTAGGTATTGGAATCTACACTCAAGGACATTAATAGAGTTGTAACTATATCCCATGTGCGGAAAAAGACAAGGAGCTAGTAATAAGAAAAATCGTAAGTGATTATAAGGATGTGGAGAAGGGAATATTCCTGTTGCAGGTGGAATCTGTAAAATGGTACATTTATTTTAGAAAACAATTTAGTGGTTCCTCAAAATGTTAAATAAACATAAAGTTCTTGTATTAGCCACAATTCCATTCCCGGTTATATATCCAAAAACCAATAAAAACATCACTCAAAAAATTTGTACCAAGTGTCATTAGCAACATTATTCACAAGAGCTAAAAACAGAACCAACCATAGATTGGTTAACTATGAAAATGGTCATTCCTTCAATAGAGTACTATTCAAAAGTAATAAGAATGAAGTACTAATATAAAACACAGATTAACACTGAAACTACTGCACTAAATAAAAGAAACTAGTCATGAAGGTACACGGTGTACAGGTATATGAATTATCTAGATTGGATAAATTTGTAGAAACATTTATTAATTCATTTATTGCATTAATATATATTTCGTTAAACTATTGTTAGCCATATGTAGGAGTGGGGGGCAAGAGAAGACATTGGTAGAATTTGAAAAGGAACTATAAAGGATGAGGGGTCTCTTGAGAAGGTAAAATAAAATGTTCTAAACTAAATTCATGGAGAAAATTCAATAATTTTATACAAAAATAACTTTTAAACCGAGTCAAAGCTGTTAAAATTATCATAGATGTTAAACACTAAGATTTAATTTTTTAGTGATAAAAACTGTCATAGATGGAATTAGATAACATTAAAAACAGATTGAAAATTTCAGTATAAGAATAATTCAATTGAAAGGCTTAGAAAGTATCCTAAATGAATCACAGAACATTAAAAAAAAATGACCAAAACAGCAATGAATTTTGAGAAAACTAACAGCCTTATTAGAGTCGTTAATGAGGTTCCTAAATCACACACAATGAGAGAGAACAAAATAATCACCAAAATATTGAAATTTAATGAAAGTTATAACCATAAACCTAAGAATTTCCACACACCTTTAGCAGAAGAAACACAAATGAAACTACATTACATACAGTATGGTATATGAAAATTATATGGCTCAAAATTACTTATAAAGAAAACTTAAAAGCATCTGGAGGAAAAGGACATGTTACAGAAAAAAAATAAGGATCTCAGGAGTTTGTTAGAAAATGCAATAATGTCAATGAATCATCTTTGAAGCACTGCTAAAATGAAAGAACAAAGCAAGTTAATCTAAATTTCTATATTCAGTAAACACTTTTTCAGAAATGAAACACATTTTTAGTAAAAAATCAGACTCATATTACAAAATAAAAACTTAAAGCATAAGAAAAAATGATGTTAGATTGGCATGTGAATATGCAAAAGAAGAAAATGTTCCAGAAATGGTACATACATAAGTAAATATGTATTTTTCTTAATGTTTAAATCTTTATCAAAAAATGAGCTCCATAAATAAAATAAAAATAATGTGATAGGTTTTAATGCATTCTATAATAAAATGTAACAAAAAGCCCCAGAAGTAATATGTTACAAAGTTAATTTTGAAACAATTATGTCTGACACCAACCAGTACACTTTAATCTTCTCTGTGCCAATTAAAGTCAGCCCTGAGAAAATCTGAGTAACAGCCTTTGTTTAAAGACCTGTTTATTTCTTATGTCTTCAGCATCTTACTCTACATGATATCAGTGAATCTTTTAAAATTTGATTTGAAGTTGATTTGCTCTACCTACATACTATAGTACCACTTCACCTTCTACTTTATTTCTGACATTTTAAAATCTTATTTGATGAGCATTTCTGATATTAGGACTACTGAGAAAGGATGCATCTTAGTACAAATGGATTGTTTACATACCCTTCAACCACAGTACTACAGTGGGCTGGCCTTTTTAATATTTCACATTTCAAGCCATATTTTCAATGCATGTTTTGTATGAAAGATGGAATTGTTTGGGATGCATTTCAGATACTGAAAATCCAACCTTAGCTGAGAGAGGTGTATTTCATCAGACAAGATGAGTTGCCACGCGGAGATGCTTCTAATCACATTTCTTGCAGCACAGCACATGAACATGCATAAAACATGATCTCTTGAAGAAGGTTGAAATTCAGCCTCAGTTTCGCTACATAACCACATTCGTGATCTTAGATGATTTACTTAGTGAAGAATTCAATTTTGTAACTCATTAAGTGAGGATGACTAGAAATATGTTTCTTGTGAAATAGTATAAAAGATAAGTTTTGAAAAATGTTTCAACTAAATGGTTGACACATTGTGAACTTAACATTTTACTTGTTGATTCCATCAACTCCTTTTGTGGTCATATATAAATGAATACCAGCATATGAATAACTGCAGAAATGATTTGAGAATAATCTGTCATGCATTTTCTTAGTAAAGGATTAAATGGATGAAGCAAAGAATATACTTTTTTTGTAAATTTTTCTCCTCCAACTGTTTACTATCATGTGTTATACTTAACTATCACAGTTTCTTGTCATTCTTTTATCTGTCATCTTGATCAATACACTTAAAATTCTAGTTTTGTGTTTGGTGAAGCAATAAATACCATTCAAGATGCATAACATTTAGCTTGAGGCCATTATTGCCCTTCTGTGAACTGTGATTCAAAGAGTCAATGTTAGCCTAGTGTTCACTACATCTGTGCTTTGCTGAAATTTTCAGATCAAGATACTGTGTTTCAAGAAGGAACTTCATGTTTAGAATTTAAATTGCAAATCATAAGGCAATTCTCTTGTCTTGGTTTGCTAGTTCCAGATGGGTAGGTTCTGACTTGCACCACACTGCACAATTCCCTGTTTAGTCTGTCATTCCTCTAACAATGCCAGCATCCATGCAATTTGGATACTGACCACCAGAACTAAATTTCAAAGTCCTCATGAGAAAAGATGCCTCACTAGAAGTAAATGCTCATAAAAAAACCTATTGACTCTTTTCAAATTACAGTCTCACCTTCTAGCATCTTACTCTTTGTTTTCTGATAGTAATGAACCAAAATACCCTGCTGAAAGCCTGTAAGCAAAAGGGATTATTTTAAGCCTTATACTGAGTTTTATTTGGTTATATTTAGCCTAATATATCTCACCTTGGAAATATTTACCTAGATCAAACAAAGTAAAGGAAAGGCTGAGGTAGACAGACAAAACAAAAGAGAATAACAAAACAATGAAAAATGATATAGGACTTCAAAACAAGGCAACAGAGAGTGAACAATGGCTCCTACTCTCTAAAGGAGCCCCCCCATTAGATACCACACTGCCCACTGCTACCTTCTGAACCTATGATAGGACCACTAGCCCTCAATGTCAGTGAAACACCAAAGCACTACAGGCATCCAACTGCATTTCACCTTGATAGCTATTATCAAAGCTTGTGTTCCTCCGGATCAGCTGGTCACTTACAGGCAGTGGGCAGTGTACTTCTTGTTTACCAGCCCATGTGCTGGCAGGGGCTGGGGTCTGTCTGTCCCCAATCTGGCAGAGGACGGCTCATGGCCCTGTTCCCAGACTTGGCTTGCTTTTCCGTGTGGCCTTATAGTCTTTCCCTGCAGTCCACAAATGGTGCTGACTCATGGGGAAAGGCTTGGGTCCAGCTGTCCACAGTTCTGTGATCTGTTTTTCTTATTCAACTATGGTCTTGGTTTGGTAGTTTTTTGTTGTACTCTAGACATTTAAAATTTTTAAACATTTTTTTTCTATGTCTTTTATTATAACACTCATTTACTCTGTGAAGTATTAATTTTGCAAATGCAATATTCACTAGCCTACCTATCTTCTTTATTTCAGCTCTTAGAGTCCTTGTACGGTTGTTTGTTTCCAGATTATAAAATTGTGCTTAACAAGGAGTTATAGGGGAAATCAATCTACAGCATGCATTTCTAAAACCTTAGATAACTTAATTGTGTATCATGAGAAATTTGCAGTGATACTAGACAGTGCTAGATTATAAGATAAGTGAATTAACAAGTAGCTTGTTATATAAATAAAAAAAACTAAAGAGAGTAAAAGTGAAGAAAGAAAAATGGTATTATTATTGGAGTATTGTGATAAAATTATATATTGAAAAGGGCTCTAATGTATGACATTCTAAATTTTAGTAATGAATTTAAATCATATAAGCATGTTTTCTTGTTTACAAAATAGAAAGATTTTTCAGTCACTTCTAACTATGTATATGCTGTTCTTAGT